CCCCCGTTGCCGGGAAACATTGGCCCAAATTTTTGAAAAAATTTTTTATACTCAAAAAATTCAAAATTAGATTTCGGAAAAAGCATGTCCAGACCCACACATTTACGTCAATATTTTACGCTTATACCTATGGTTCATGGTCCGTGAACCCTCAAACCACGATTTTTGTTAAGGGTACACGCATTAATCTTAAATTGGGAGGTGAGTACACGCCGTGTATCCGCGTTACCCTCCACTACACCACTGGTCATAACATATTTAAATTTTTAGTATTTTTATTTTACAATATTGTTAGTGTTTAATATCTGAAATTCAGGTAGATAATTGTACAGTTAAACAAATAATCATTTTCAATGTAAATTTATAATTCTATGAAAAAAGTAGAAAATTTTTAAATGAAATTATTGATTCAAAATTAACATGCTTATGTAATTTATAGATGTACCTATCTCAAGATTCTGAAATAAATAATTCAAATGATGCAAAGGGTGTATTAGTTCAGTCAGCAGTGATGTATATGCACTGCAAGGATTCCTTTTACTGGCCAAGCATAATTGATGACAACTTTATATCCTATTGTACCTATTGAAAAGGGACCAAAATTTTTTCAAAATGATAATTGTTCATTTGAAAAGTCAGCTAGAAAGAAAGGTGATTGGTGAATATAGAAAAGTTTAATAAATATTATATAAGTTTAAAATATAAATTATTATATTACTATTGTTAATTATTTTTATATTTTAGAAAATGATCACACAAGGCATCTATCACTAACTTTTTTTCAAAGAAAGTTACCAAATGGCGAGAAATGTAAACGACAATGGTTAATGTATTCTCCTAGTCAAGGTGTTGTATATTATTTTATGTGCAAGCTTTTTGGAAGTGACCATCAAAAGAACCAAAGTCCCTTTGTAGGTGCTGGATTTTCAAATTGGAAAAAATCAAATAAAATTGAACTTCATGAAAACAGTCTTGAACATCAATGTGCTACAACAAAATGGTTATTATTATTATTATCATACCTATTTAAATAAAAAAGTTTAAATTTGTTTAATTGTATACCTACTTTTATAATTTTAAAGAATTGTTTTTATTGATGGGGGGCCCACAACTGTGTATTGGCCCCTGGGCCCCTGAAGGTCTTAATCCGGGCTTGCATATTGAGAAGGAAAAGGAAATGAGGTTGGCTGTCCGTCATATGATTGATCCTCAATCTACATGGGATTATATTGTTGATCTTGCTCTCTATACTTAAACTATATCATTAGTGGGTGTGCATAAAAAAACACACAACCGCAAATTTCAACAATTTAATATAAGTAAAAAATCGAAAAATTTGTATGGACTGGTAAAGTGCATTAGGTCCATAAAAATAACCTTATTAATGTACAGCTGATAGTTTAAACTTTTAACTAATTTTTATTATGATATTAAAATTGTATATTTTTATAGTTTAGTTAAATGTGTTTGGTTATTTCAATTTGTAGTTACTTATGAGAGAAGAATAGAAAAACTGAATCAAATTGTACAATATAATTTTTCTTCCATTACAACATCAGATGCAGAATATACTAAAAAAAAAAAACTCGGAAAATCAGCTAAAAAACAAAAGAAAAATATGGTCCACCACATGATAGCCTAGGTATGTACTATATTTGTCAAGATATTTGAGCAGTTGTGAATGATTATTCAATTTTGTTAAATGTTTATGTTCACCATCATTTAATAATAGGTACCTACTTAATTTTTTTTTTTTTTAATAACATTTTAATTTATACTAAAAAGACCAAAAATAAAACAATTATTGTCATCTCCTACATTTATACCACCATATCCCCTATATTACCTATATGCTCCGAAAACCCGAAACCACAGAATTCAGGTATTTTATTAGATTGAATAGCTTTTTATAAATGGTTAAGTATGTTTTATTTAGTGTTGTTTACTAGTTAATATATAATATATTATAATAATTTTTATTACCTAGATCAAGGGCGCACCCAAGGGGGTGGCTAACGGGCTTTAGCCCCCCCCCCCACAAATGGCTAGCCCCAAACATTTTGATAATTTTATTAGGTTTATTGACAAATTGACATTTTACTTTAAATTGTTATAAAAAAAAATTATCAACTATCGAAATTGAAACATTAGGCATAACATAATATTATATTATATCACTGATTTTATAATTTTATAAAATTTATTCCTGTCATTCCGGGCCCCGGGAGAGACCTCTGTTGTCTATTATTATAGACTACGACGACACTCAAAACCAGGACAAAAATAAAAAAAATTTGTTAGTAAAAGATTGTAAAAAAGCTTAAAGATTTCTGTACATATTTCAAAATAAATACTACCTATTAATATTAAAATTATGTGAATTTAGCCCTCCCCAAAAAAAATCCTGGGTGCGCCCCTGACCTAGATCATAAAAGAAAACTGTTTCCTGAAATAACTTCTAATGAAGGCAAGTTTTTTTTAAACGTTTAAACTACAATTATTTGTAAATTATACATAATTTTGTTTGATTTACTATTATTATACAGTTTCATTCACATTTTAGTTAAATAACTATTTTTTTCAGTATCTTCTTTTGATCAGAGTTGCTCTACAGAAGTGAAATCAAAAAAGAAATTATTTAAGAAAAATGTTGATTGTTTCGGTAAATTCAAATATTGGATGAGATTTAGATAAAAATATAAAATAGTTGTTTTTGTAAATTATAATAGGTTCAGATTTTATTTCCATTAAATAAACTTCTGAATTTCAAAAATATGAATCACAAACTAAATTCTTAATTGAAAATAATAAAAGACATTGTAATAACTTGGAAGTTTTCCAAAAAAATAGGTATTGATTGTAATATCTGCATTATATTTTTCTAGATTCAGAACTGATTTTTAATCAAAAATCTAAATCTCCCACTGGATTACTTAAAGATGCTGATGATAGTCAAGGTAAATTTAAACACATTTCTTAGACATTTATTATAATTTTTGCATTACCTATATTATTCTAGATACACAACTGATTTTTAATCAAAAAGCTAAATCTCCCACTGGATTACTAAAAGATGCTGATGATAGTCTTGGTAACACATTTAACACATCAATTCTTTAAAAATTTATTTTATTTCATATTCAGGTCTTATTCTCGCCCAATATTCTCCTCTAACTCATGGCAGACACTCATCAAGCTCTCCAAATTATTTTCATGCAATAAATGAAAACAACTTTGGTAAATTCATATTTATGAATACTTTTTTTTCCTATGATTTAGAAAAATATACCTGGTAGTGATAATTAATATTCTAATGTTTTGTTCTAGGACCAAGAATTAGTAATTACATTGTTAGTCCTTATAAAAATGATGTAGTTTCAGACAAGGCGGATATTGATGACCAACATAGTAAATTATAATGACTGATTTTTAAATATGAAATTTTTACATTATATTTTAATACCATTACTTTATTGTCAATATTAGGTGCGTAAGTCCTGAAATGTTTTATCAATCACCAGATTTTAAAAAACTTCCTTCATCAACTCAATGTAACATTCTCAGTGGTGGAGAAACTGGTAAAATTATAGGACTTTTTAATTTTATTTTAATAACCCAAATGTATTATAGTCTTTATAATTTAGAACATGAATCACAAATTGTTCAAAACCACTATAGGACAGAAGGGACTTCAACGAAACACATTGATCAAAACACTAGGATGTACATCTAACATTAGTATTTTTTTAAGTTTATAGTTAATTTTATTTAATAATTTGTTATTAAATTAATATATTGTTTTAATAAATATTAATTGTGCTTTTATTTTCAAGCATTTTTGCGGGGCCAAGCTAACATAATTAGCAAACTTGATGAACTTCTCGAGAGCAAAGCAACAATGACAAACCACCAAGAAGGTGACTCAACTTTTTCTTCAAAGTATAAAAAGTTATTATCAGCTGCTAATGAAAACCAATTAAAAGAATTAGAAAATGAGTTGAAAATAGAACATTTGTTGGAAACTTAGTAAGATTAAGTGATTTTAATTATAAGTTTAATTGCAAGCTCTTATGTCAACATTATAAAAGTTTGATTGCTTCTAATAATATTGTATAACATGATTTTTATTTTATGTACAGTGTACTCAATATAAAAATTACGACGGGCAAGATTACACAGTGCTATTGAGGAGAATTTCAGAACACACTATAACGGATGAGTTGGGCTGTGAAATTAATTTCACTGGAAAAAAAAGAAATAACACTGATAAAAAGAAAATTGCCTTTGTGAAACTATATCTGTATCAATGTATTTTAGGCAAGTAATGTTGGTTATAATATTTAAACTTTAGTCGGCATTTATACAACGACCATCATTATTATAATTTAAACAATGTTGTATAGGTGTCCCACAAGGATTTACTATTATTGATATATCATTTGCGTGTAAACAATTAAATTCTGTTTTTATTTTTAATGTATTTTAAAATATAACACTTATTAATTTAAAATATATATTATATGTATTTGTAGAAGTTAATCCCACATATATGTGTTTGTTAAACGTTGAAGTGAATTACTAACTTGAAATTTTTTACAAAAATTATGTGGGTTTTTTGAAACGCGTGATTAATTAGTGCAGCATAGATAATTGCACAGAATTACTATTGGGTACTCTGTATAATTTACAATATATTTTCAGTGATATCAGTCACCAAGTACCACTAACTTTAAAATCTCAGTAGTTTAAGAGATATTTTTGGAGTTGAAAAGTAAATTTTTTAAATGATGAGTTGTGCATTTCTTTATAAATATATCATATTCAAAATTGTATATTTATTATAAAATTAAAAAAATGATAGTCTTGACAAATATACATTTTTAATTGTTTTTCAAACTAAAAATATTTAATTTAATGTTAATACATTACAATGCATTACAGAGTTGATAAATAAGAAGCATCATAAAGTATTTAGTATAGTATTGTACGTTGTAGCACAAATGCACAATACACAAATTGTAATTTTAATATTGCTATTATATGCTTCTTTTAAAGGATTCCTTTATGCATCCTTTGTAGGAGTCCTACGGCTATCCCACGAAGGACTCCCTAGGAGTTCTACAGCTATCCCACAAAAGACTCCTGAATTGGTATCCTTCTGGAAAGCATTCAAAGATTGTGGTTACAGTCATGGGAATCCATTAGGAGTCCCTACTTTCCTGACAAGGACTCCGTCAAGAATCCTTAAGGACACCTTGTGCTACGGCCTACGAGGGAAGTTGTAAAATATAAAAAATAAACAGGCATGATTATTTTTTATAATATGCATTTAACGATCAATTCTTAACAAATTTCATCAACATTTCGAAAATGTTCAACTATTTTTCAGTTAGAAATTTTATAAAAATTTATATTTTTATAGCTTACATTAGATACTTTATTAGAAAATTAACCACTTATTTTTCTACCTAAAACATAATAAAAGTTTACAGGAATGTGACATTCATTTTAGATTCTGAGTGGAACGATGAATGTATTGATTTTACAATGATGTGTGTTTTTTTTATTTTTGTGTGTGTGTGTACACGATAAGACAGTAGTCGAAATAATGCTTCGATTTTCAACCTCAGTATCTTGTTCGATTGGAAAGTGAATATCGTTGCTGCATTGGGGAGGTCAAAATTTAAAATTCCCAGTAATTTTCCAAAGCACCGAGAAAAATTAAGAAAAAACGGGAATTTGTACGCGAAATCGATTTTTAACAAAATCGAATTTGATTTTGGTGTAACTTTAAAACAAATGATCGTAGATACATGACATTTTCACTGATTGGTTATATTTGCATTTTCTATACACGATTATAATAACGAAAAATCTAAAAAATACATAAACACAGTTTATTTTTATAGTCATTTTAAGTTCAAATTTGGACGAAATTACATATTCTAGAATAACTATTTTAGTTATTTTGTTGTGATTGTATAATATTATTCGTGGGTACTTGAAACTTCTAAGGTACACTATTGTATATCTATGATAGTATCAGGGTTTATTATTGATGTAGAACTCGTTATAAGTACCTAATGGATATTGTGATATGATTAATTTGGAATTTATTATAGGTACCTATTATAGGTCAATTTTTTTTAATACCATAGATAAGTATATAATATTATGTCTTACTACTGACATATCGTCTCCGCTCAGAATCGTTTTTCTTATACAATGATTTTATATCATTGAATTCAAATTTAATACCATCCATTATACAGTGACCTACTTGCAACCAATGCAGAGCACCTTTTTGATCACACCTACCTATATCTTGGTTGAATATGAAAATTTCGAAAAATCAGCAACATTTAATTTTTAGTAAAATACCTCATTTTTTGTGTAGGTATAAACAATTATACTAAAACCCCAACCCTTATTTTTAAAAACCAAAAACAAGAACTTTTCAATAAGAAAATATAATTAAGAGTACTTCAGTACTTGTGACTAAACCAGAATCTTTGTTTAAAAGTAGAATAATAACTTTGTATCAGTGCTGGCATTCAATGTTCTTATGAAATTACAAAATATATCCTAAAACTTAAAAGTCTCGTAATTAATTCAAAGTGCATGGGTCATTATCGTTATTAAATTATAATATAATTTACTATACACTATGCACTCTGCATCATGGTGCCAAATATTTGTATTATTTTATGCTTACCCATTTATCTAGACCGCAAAAAATATCTGCGTTGATGATAGACAAAGTATAAACACACAAACGATGTATACATTTAATTCACCCGAACATATTGGTGGTCTTATTCCGACTAAATGACTGGTGTAGTGGAACACTGGTGAATATTTCAACCTCTAAAACTTGGTATTTTCAAACCGTGTCTGGTACTTAATTACAAACATCCAGTATTGTAATTAATTACAATTTACTAATAACGTTAATATTTTATATATATTGGTGCCTTTAAATTATTAATTATAAATAGTACCTACATTTATATTATATAATAAATATTTCAATTACAAATTACATGATTTGTATACCCTACATTTTATACATACCCTACATTTCCCAATATTCTGGTCGAAAATTATGTGTACCCTGCGATTGGTGCGTAAATTACAACTTTTTTTTTCTATTTAGAATTTGCGTTTAAAAATAAATTGCAAAAGTCGACAACAATTGATATAACATTATTCAAATCCGGCTTATAATAGCACGATAAAAAATATTTCGAGATTATATAGGATGCACTAGTGAACCTACTCACGAGTGTTCGGTTCAATAAACCCAAACGTTTTTCACATTACAAACAGAGAATTGGCAAACGGTTTTCGACACGTACCTACATAGTGTTATGAGTTTCGAAGGATTTGAATTTGTGAACAAGTTGCGATGTTTTACTTAATATTATCTGTGCTGCAATGACGTTAAAAATGTAAAATATTAATTGTAAAAATAATATTTTAACACTTTATTGGATGGATATTTTTTGGCAACTTTAACTTTAGGCTTGTTGATAAAAAAAAAAGTAAAAACCATGGGTGTTTGATCAATTTAAATAAGCGGCAAGTGATTAATAAAAAAAATCATTAAGACGGGGTACTTTCATTTTTCGTGATAACGGGTGTCAGTGAATAGTGGAAAAGGGAAAGGCACACTTTTGATGTAAACGTGTTACATTTTTCAACCTCTAAGACGTATCAAATGACTAATGATTAATTCTATCAAATTACCAATTTAGTATAATGAAGAAAGATAAGTACTCGCAGACAGACTTTCAGAATAATTGTAAAAAATAAATGAATAAAGCTATGCAAGAATAAAATTAATGACTACCTAATTAGGAAAAGTTGAACTTCTCTATGAACGTATTAGCAATATTCTTTATTAATGTGGTGAACCCAGCAGAGCCGCCGTGCATTTAAATTGTTTAACAGATCTATGTCTCGATATATATAATAAACATTCACGCAAAAAGCTAGGTACAAGCAAAGCAGGGCTTATAAGGGTTTAGTTTTCTTTGATCTCATTTTATATGAAAAGTATGATAGTATTTATAGATGATTATCGACCCGTACATGAAATAGATTTTAACGCATCACCAGAATAAATTATGTACCTACCTATACCTACCCATTTTGTGCTCTGAATAGCCATCAAAACATCTCACGTATTAGTTATATATGATGGCTGTCATCCAGTTTTTCCTTCAATAATGAATTTATTCGAATTCTGTTTTCTGGAATTCTTATGTAAGCGTGCTCAAGGACGATAATATTTTAAAAACAAGGTATACCATTATAGTACCTCCTCTTATTACCTAGGTATTGTATGAATTGTAGGTACTATATATTGTATATATTATATTCTTGTTTGTTCAAATAAAATAAAAACGTCGAATTTTGCAAAGCTTGATAAGTTATTTTTTGTTAAAACTATGATTAAATTTAACACAAACAGTTCGAAAATAATGTAAATATTTTGAAAATTTTATCAAGTATAAGAATTGATAAAATGAACATATTATATATGACATATATTCCAAGTGTCTACAGTTATTCATTTTTTAATTGTATCGGGTTTTCCTCTCCTGGAGCAGAATGTCCGAAGTGAGGCACTCTCTAGATGTTGAGTCCTCCACTGCTTCTATATGACGTGCTCCTTAGTGTTTTGGTATAAAAGCAGACAAATATTGCTATCCTGCAAGCTTCCCTGCCAGGTCTCCCAAGAATTCCGCTTAGTACGTTATCAACGGGCCAGCTAAATCAACGCATGTACCTATTCGTAAAAGGACGCGAACAAGTACTTAACTCTTTCTTTGAGCAATGGTGTCATCAAGGGTCACTTCGGTTTTGCTCGGGCACATTCAAGAAAACGCTTGACCACCGATCATGTTGTGAGCCTTCCCCGGAAAGGCCAATATTAATGTCTTATTTATTTATTTTATTGTATACCCTTTTACAAATTATATAAAGGAAACATATCAGATAAAAACTAAATAAGTGTAGTAAAACCTAACAAAAACAGATAAAATAATATAAAAATAACTCTGATATAAAAGTAATAAATAAATAAAATTATAGTTACATTATAAACATTTTTTTTTTTTTATGTCTGCAAGAAGAGCTTATGGACCACACATAATGATGGGGTACGGTATAAAACAATTTTAATAATATTATATACATCCTGGCGCAAGCAGTTGGGAATTTTAAATATATTGACCTCCCGAATGTACCAACTAGAATCACTTTCCCATCGAACAAGATGATACTGTTGAAGAAAATCGAAGTAGTTTTACTACCCAGACGGTTATGACAGACACGAAAAAAAAATTTTTTTAAAAATAACCACACATCATTGTAAATTCGATACATTTATTATCTCTCCGCTCAGCATCTGAAATGGAAAAAAGATTTTAATAAATAATAACTATCGTAATTATTATCCAATATAAATATTAAAAAACCGTGAAATTAGCCCTGCTGTACAGTTGGGTTACTATAGTTGATTTTGTTAAAACTTAAATTTGAATCCAATGATAATTGATAATATAATATCTTTTTATGCGAAAAATGATTCTGAGCGGAGACGGTTTGTCAGCCAGCCTAGGATATTTTATATTATCATTATTAATATGGTAGGTAGCCGGTTAAGTTAAATTATTATTATTTGTTTATTATCATATTTGTATATTATAATAATATATTTCAAAAGTTTTAAGTACCCCTAAAAAAATATTTTTAAAATATAACAAAAACTAAAATCGTTCTTCTTCGTTTAAATATCTAATTTCGTCCAAATTTGCACATAAAATAACTATAATTATAAAAAAAAACTGTGTGTTTATGTTTTTCATATTTTATGTTTGCAGAATAACCTACTAACGTGGAACTTTGTTTTAAATTTTCAATGATTAGCTATAAAAGTTGAACACTTTATACATTTTCAACTACAAAATCTTCTTAGGTTCAGAGTGGAACTATGAATGTATTGATTTTACAATGATGTGTGTTTTTTTTTTTATTTTATTTTCTTAATTTTTATTATTTATTATTATTTTTTTTTTTGTGTCTGGGTACACGATAGGTAGTCAAAATAATACTTCGATTTTCAACTTCAGTATCTTGTTCGATTGGAAAGTGAATATCGTTGGTGCATTGGGCAGGTCAAAATTTAAAATTCACAGTAATTTTCAAAAGCCCCAAGAAAAACAAAAGAAAAATTAAGGAAAAACTGGAATTTTTAAGCAAAATTGTTTTTGGTTTT